ATAACTCATCCCTCATCGTCTCATCCGACATCAACACGTCGTTTGTCCGCCAGCAGGACATTACGATCAAAGACTCTGCGGTACTGCCCCCTGTCTGTGCGGTGGAGAAGAACCACAGTGGCGTTGTTTCCTTCTTCACTCCACACACTCACTTCTGCTTCGTTGTTTTACAAACGTTTTTTTTTCTTTTTTTCACTCTAAATGCTGATTCTGCGTCACCTGACTTTTATCACTCCTCTGTGACCTTTGCCCTTTGCTCATTCTCTCGCCCCGTGTGAGGAACTGGAGCTGAGGAAGTGAGGATTATTCAAATCTGCTGCAGCGCAGGAGGAACTCTGACCACCGAGATCTGACTGTGAAACGTACAGAACGTTTAAAGTTTACAGTAAAGTGGGGCAGGAAGTTCTTGTTCTTTCACAGCGGGGAATATTTTTACCCCTGTGAAGTTTGTTTTGGAAACAGCGTGGGTCATTTTCAGGTCAACTGAATCAGACGTTTCAGTCTTTTTTTTTTTGTTAGCCACATGTAGTTAGCCGCAGTTAGCTCTATTTGCTACACGTCAGCTACTTGTACTCCGTCTTAGTCTGAAGTTTTTCTCTAACTAAAACTACTCGTTGAATTACTTTTATCATCATCTGATACGTCTTTGTGCTAATGTGTAGCTGTTTTGTGGCTAACTTTTAGCCTCATTCACTATATTAGCTAACTGTACTCTAAATTAAGGCTAGTTAAAACAGTTTAATTTCCTCCTGGTTTCTACCCACATTAGAGCTAACGTTCAGTGTAGCTTCCAGTATATATGTTGGTATATATTTGGTGTAGAGATCTCCCAGTAAATGTTGCTGATGAAACTAGCTCACACCGTATTTGTCACGCGAGGAAAAGAGAGAGCGATATATTTCCCCGACCTCTGGGATCGATGCGCTGCTGTGACAGGAAGCGTTCAGAGATTCAACACTGCTGCTGCTGCTGCTGCGTGTGCGTGGTGTTATTATGATTACGACGGCGAAGACGAAGAGAGAGAGAGAGAGAGAGAGAGAGACAGAACGTGTCTGTGACTGAAAGTGCAGCGTCAACAGCGCTCGCTCTTTCCGCCCACTGTTGTGGTCGAGCGAGGCCTCGTTACAATCTGATCTGCTCAACTGTCCAAATCACTTGTAACCACATGTCAGAGTGGAGATTATTCTAAATAAACCTGCAGCAGATGTGAGACCTCTTTAATGTGCTGCACTTCAAAAGACACAGGCGACCGCGTTTGACTTCTGACGCAGAGACAGACCAGGTTTTTCACCACGTACAGTGTACTGTCTCTCTCTCTCTCTCTCTTGAATACTTTTTATATTTACATGTAAAATATTTTGTTCTTTTCTATAAGGAATGAACCATGTCCCTCAGTCCATGTCCCTCAGTCCATGTCCCTCTGTCCATGCCCCTCAGTCCATGTCTTTTAAAGGGAGCTGTGTTTAATGTATTTAAATTTTGCAAAATAATTTAAGAGTGAAAATAGGAAAAAAAACATGTCCCACAATCCCCAACAGTCTGTGGTCCAAACTGCGGGGCCGTCCCAGCTCTGAGGATGGACCTGAGAGCAGCAGCAGCAGCAGCAGCAGCAGCAGCAGCAGCAGCAGCAGCAGCAGTAATGAATTTTCTGATGCTAATGCAGCTGCACTTGAGCTGTTCTATATTTAGGTGCCATCTCAGACACGGGGCCTCCACTGTCTCCGCTCCGCCTGCAGCCCGTGTTTGTTCCTGGCTCCGACAGTGACTCTGGATGTTTAAAAAAAAAAAAAAGTACGGCCGGAGGCTGCGGGCACGCCGCCGCTCCAGATGCAGGTGGTTGTTAGCAGGAGACGTGGGGGGGGGGGGGGGGGGTTATAAAGGTGCGTGCCGCAATAATCACTCCAGGCCTCGGAGCTTCACTGTTAGCAGTTCAAGAGGAGAAAACTGTGTATCCATGACAACGCGCTGGAAACGCAATCACCGTTTGATTTCTGCTGTGAAACGTCTTCACGTCGAGCCGGACCTGAACCTGAACCTGACCAGAACCTGACCTGAGTGACCTGAGTGACCTCTGTGAGGCTGAAGACAGTCTGGAACATGAGGATGGGCGTGTGTGTGTGTGTGTGTGTTCACTCCGCTCTACTGTTCCTGTTCTAACACGTCTGGACATGAAACTGTGTGAAACACACCCTTCTCCCACACACACACACACACACACACACACACACACACACACACACACACTGGGTCTGCCACTAACGATAATTCCACCGCAGATTCATCTGCTGATTATTTTCTGCTGTATTTCATTAAAAGGCTGACCGTGGTCCATCAAACCTGTCGACTGTCGGAGAAAATACCACAGAAAACTCCCGGTCCGCTCTGGAATTCTGGCTCATCAAGAGTGAATCATTTCATTTAGTTAACGACGTCTTGATCTGATTACAGATCCCTGACTGTGGTGACGTCAAATAAAAATAAAATGATAAAATATGTGTGTTCAGACTCAGGTGTGTGTGTCTGAGACGGAGTCACACACACACAGGAAGTGATCTGGATCATGACTGTCACACTGACAAATCAACACAGCCTTAGAACAGGTCCACGATCCTGTCTTCAAATAAACAACATCCAAATTCTCGTTCCTCCTGCGATTATTTCTGATTTATGCCATACTGTGATATTCCACCGTTGGCATGGAAACAGGCACACAGTATACCATGAACTCAAACACCCCGACTCCTCGGTGACCGGCTTCCCTACGCCTGAAGAGCGCACGCACAGAGCAGAGCGTTTATTTCACGACTGAAGACGAGCTTTAAAATCAGACGGAAGATAAAATGTCTGTCGTCTGTTTTTATTCTGTCACAAACGACGGTCGTCGTCGTCGTCGTCGTCGTCTTCTTAACGTCACCTCAATACAGCACAAACAACAAGGGGTCATTGAAAAAACCTGACCGTCGCTACGTCTTTACAGCCACGGTTCTGAAGTGGACCAGACCCGTGCTCCAAAAACACCTCTACGTTCACAACAACGTCAACAACAACAACAACAACGTCACCTCAAACTTTTCCGCCACGGAGGCTGCGTTTGTCAAACGTCAACTTGACGGAGAGTTTTTCACAGCACTGTGTCCAAACAGTGGTTTCCGGCCTTGACAGCAGCCAACAGACGCAGGGACGCTCGGCTTCAGGACGCTGAGTCTGTCCGTCGCCTCGTGTCACAGTCAGAGTCACAGTGTAAACAACAACGGCGTCAATAAAAGGAGCAGCTACACTTCAGTCATGACCTGCTGTACATCTGACTGAGTGACAGTTTCAGACACTATGGTTGGACGTTGATGTGAATGTCCACATGTCCACATGTCCAACGGTCACACTCGACCTCCGACAGTAAACACCAAACTAATTCCCAATTAAAACGCCTCTAATCCTCAAACAACAGACGGGGGGAGGTGCGGGGGGGGGGAGAACGCCTCTAATCCTCAAACAACAGACGGGGGGAGGTGCGGGGGGGGGAGAACGCCCTTGGATTACTCTCCTTACGCTGTGAGCAAACAATAGTACCGTGAACAGGAGCCAGAGTCACGTGACTCCTGATGACGCTCCTGTAACCGGAGCGAGAGGATGTAAGTGAGACGGACTGATCTACCGTCCCTGCACATCTGCTACACTGTCAGGAACAAAGGTCAAATGTCAAAGGACACCACGATCGCCCCCCCCAAAACCCTCTCCCTTCACCCCCTTACCTGTCCCTGGACGTCCCATGATTATTTGCTTGGAGGGAGCAGGGTGGGCCGACTCAGCTGGCAGTATGAGGGGCAGCAGGGCAGTGGGGGTGGGGTGGCAGGCCACCGGCTGTGGCAGCGCCCCCGCAGGCGAGTCCTGGTGTCCCTCTGGCTTCCTTTCCCTCTCCTTGCCGCCAGAACCAGAAGAGGACAAGACGGAGCCCGAGGAGGTGGAGATGGAACCTGGGGTGGTGGGGCTGGACAGGGAGGTGTGCCCCACGGTGGCAGGAGTGAGGGACTGCGTGGAGATACCAGAACACACACAGTGTTTGACATTTCCAGAAAAGTCGTCAACGACATTTAAAATAAATTTGTTTTTCAAATAAAACCGTGGCGTTCTTACCGAGCTGGAGGTGACCAGGACCAGGGTCGTGGCTCCGTTGATTGGTACGGGAGCCTGCAGGCCCGGTGGAGCTTTGTGCTGTGGTTGGCTGTGCTCCCTGGACCTGCTCCTCTCCCTCCTCCCCATTGGACCGTCGGAGAACTTCGCCAAAGGGACGTCCGGGTTGCGGACAATGACCGGGGAATCGCGGAGGGGGACGATGCGACGAGGTGAGGGTTCCTGAGGCAGCGGAGAGGGAGGGGTGGGGGACACCAGCATAGGTGGAGGCGTGGAGGCAGCGGAGGACGGTGGCCTGCTGGTGGCGCTACGGGAGCGTGGGAAAGAGAGTGAGGAGGGAGTTGTGGGCTGACTCTGGGGGGAGAGGACTCTGAAGGCAGCGGGGCTGTGGCCCAGGAGTGACTCCCCCACCATCCCCCCCGCTACACCAACAAGCTGCTGCTGCTCAGTTTTGGTCTGGTAGTCCTGGACCGCGGGCAGTGGAGGCGGTGGGTGGACGTCCAGCTTCCTCTTGCTGGGGCTCATGGGGACAGTGAACGTGAGATTGGTCTGAAATGTGGGCACGATACCTGAAAGGTGGCGCTCTCGCTCGGCACCCGGTGTACCCATCTTGGTGCCGCTGAGCTGGCGATGGCGGCGTGGCGTGAGCGAGGAGGGAGCAGTGATGGGGCTGAAATTGGCAGGACGGAAGCCGAAGTGTGGAGAGGGCGAGGCCGACGGAGTAGGGGAGAAGGGTGACTGGTTGGAGATGGGAGAGAACGACGGCGTGACCGAGTGGGAGCCCCCCAAGGAAACCAACATGGTTGCCGCCTCGCACTCATCGAAGTCGAATCGGGAGAGGTCCTGAGGGAGCAGAGAAGGTAGAACAAGGCGAGGACGGGAGTCTCCCCCCCGACTGCTGGCCTCGCTACTTTCCCGTGACGTCTCATCCCAGTCAAACTCCGAGCTGGCCCTGCCCCCACCTAAACGGAGGTCCGAGGGCGTCAGGGTCCCCGTGCTGCTGGCTCCGCTGCGCTCCCGGCCTCCCCCGCTGGCCTCCATCTCCTTGGTCCTCATGGACAGGTGTCTGGAGCAGTACCCTCGGCGCTGCGACTCTTTGGAGCAGCCGTCCCGTGAGCACAGTCGCCGCCACTGTTTCCCATTGAACTTCTTGCGGATGCCTGTCGGTGTGCACACCACGTCTCCCTTTTTGTACTTTTGCTGTGCTGCTGTCTGTGGGGTGCGGGATCGTGAAGAGGAAGAGGAGGTGGAACCCGATCCCGACCCGCCGCCGCCACCGCCTGCTCCTCCACCGTTGGAGCCTCCTCCTGAGGCCTTATCAGCTCTGGAGGAAGAGGACGCTGTGGAGGAGGAGATAGGAGGAAGTGGCGGTAGCTGGGGGGGGGCGGGCACGGCGCCAGCTGCTGCCGTCACCGGGGCCATGCCTAGGGGGACAGCAGGAGGGGGGG